ATTTGTAGTTAATCTTTCACCTTGTCGATTATCAGCTAGATTAAACCAGCCAGAAATGCTTGATTTTCGACGCTCTTGTACGGCATGAAAATAAAAGTGCCCACAAATTTTATTTGATGAATACATAGACTGTTCCTTGCAGAGTTTGGCGATAATAGACTTAACTCTCGGTTAAGTCCCACTTTCGAGAAAATCGCCTTCGAATTCGGGTATTTTAGCGCCTCGGACGTTTTACAATTTTAATGCATATTTTCAAAGTATTTGATATTTTTCAAAATTTTTATCAAATTGAGATAGAAACACTTTGAATTACAGCCATAAGTTGTAAATTTGATTTGTGAAAATTTGAGTTGATTTCAATAAATAGTAAATTTTTAGCGGCGACTCGAATACATTGTTTGAATACAGGTTTCCCGATGGTTAATTTGCAAGTTTTAGGCTGTTGTCGAAAATCGTCTCAAAAAGTCCCTAAAAATTCGAATTGTTCCAAATAAACGCGATAATATTTCATAGTATATAATTGTTGACTTTTGACGAAAAAATTAGAAAAATCGGTGAGGGGCCGAAATTTGCCTTATCCGTTCTTACGCGGACAGCCTCTTAATATCGAAAGTAAACTTTTCTCAGAAGAGATGATGGAAGAACCTGTTTATACCGGTTTCAGACAAGAGCGTTTCAAGAACAATTTTATATTGCATTCAATAGTGACTCAGACGTCTTTTCTAGCCGAGAAACGGTAGTCCAAGAAATTCACGGACATTATTATTATGACAGTTTATGTAAGTACCGCAAGTAAACGTTTCTTAGAAGAGATCATAGCGGAAAAAAACCTGTTTAAACCGGTTTCAGACAATGTCCGCCGACGAACAGTTGTATTTGTTATATATTCCAATAATAGCTTAGACGCACATCAAAACAAGGAATATCTAAAAAGCTGCTATATAATTCAGAACAATTCAAAATCATAAATTTATAAATAAACTGAACGATCCACATTTCAGGAATAATGCCTTCTGCTTTATACCATGTTTGTATTGAGTTGATGTCTGTTGTAGTATTCTAATCTTCATGGTCATGTGCATGTTGTCTTTAAGTATTTCTTAGCAAATATATATGCCAGCCGAAAAACCTGTTCATGTTTCGTTTATCAACAACTTAGTTTTCAATACTTAGTTTTTTGGATAATAATATTTATGCTAGGACGTCAAAGAAGGGAGAATTTAGTAATCTTCAAATAAGAGAATCTTGCTTTATGACCACTCTCCTTAGACCATCTTTAAGTCCCAACTTTCTCTAGCCGGAGGCGGAGGTTTTCATAGTTTTAAGGCTATTGGCTACAGTTTACTAGGATACTCACCGTACGTTGACTCCCGCTGTAGTAAGCTATGCCGTTATATCGAAAGTCAAGTTTTCTTAGAAGAGTTTTATAGTGGGATAAACCTGTTTAAACCGGTTTAAATCAGACATACTTTTCTTAGAAGAGATCATTGTAGAAGAAGCCTGTTTAAACAGGTATGAAAATGAAAATGACCCCTAAAAGGGACCTGTATTGTGAGATGATAGACGTTGCAGTGCTGAAATTTCGCATAATATGGACAAAGGACAACTTTTTGGATACCACGATCTCTTTCCGAAACTAATATTCCATTATAATTATGTTTTCGCAAAATTAAAAGCGCTATTTTTTTAAGGAGAGGTTGAAAGGAAAATCGAGTTTCTCGAAAACGATGTGTTATTTTCTACATATGAATCTCTTTCAAAACTCTCCGTACCTTGAGCAACGCATTTTAAGAATTTCAATTAAAGACTGGAATTCCCTAGAACAATTTTTCTTGGGATATGTTATCTTTGCTAATACTTTTGGTGAGTTTTCATAAAATGCCAGTATCAGTACGCCCATTTTGATCAAGTGAAAGTTTCCGAAAAGAACTACTCCCATGAAAGGCCTTAATCACGAATGCATTCCACTTTATATAGGTAAACTCTTCCTCTTGAGAAACAGCAAGCAAAATATCCAGCTGTTTTTCAGTGTGAATCGCTGATGCGAATTAGAAACTGAGCAAAGCTAGTAATAGCATGCTTTTACCATGCATTTAAAAATCATAGTATAGGTATTCTCAAGGTGAGTTGATAACTTTTAATTGATCCTTGCTAATATCGATCAAACAATAATTTCAGAAGTGAGAAATGGTTGGAAAACCTGTTTATACCGGTATTATATGCGTTGTTTTTCAATCAGGTGTGATCGAAGAAACACGAAGCGCTTTCTGGTTATGTAAATGAATAGCGTCCTTTTAAATGATCTTAGCTCAAATGATTTCCAATTTTTTAATAGAGTATTCTAAAATATTTAGGATACTACGCGCGCTGTGATTGGTCGAAAACCATGTTTGATTACAGTATCAAAACACGCTCGCGCGCGTCAAAAATTTCTTTTTTCCCGCCGTTTGCATTTGTTGTTGTTATCATTCATTTTCAAGAAMAATGAACGAAGRAATGCCTATTTATGATGTCCTCTGGGATGATATCCCAGAAGAAGAGCTATCAAACGTTTTAGAATCTACAGAAGCTGCAGACAACTGCAATGTAAGGAGAATTCATCGTTTCATATCGTATCAAAAGTCAGAAATCTTTACAATTTTCGTATTCTTTTAATTTTAGAAAAGAAATAGAAGACGAAATTCCGTGTTTGATACTCTGATCAAAACACTTGGGATGTTGGGAGAGCACTCGAAAAGCTGGAAACCACTCCGCTACGCGTCGTGATTTCCTACGCTTCTCTCGTGCTCTCCTTACATCCCGCGTGTTTTGATCAGAGTATCAAACACGGAATTTCGTCTTTTATTCCTTAAATAATATAAACGAGTCCCACTGTCAATAAATGAAATATCGCCTCGGTTTGGTGCATGATTTTCGACCTATACGTGACAGATTGCGTGATACTATGCGACTGCGAAATAATTCGAAAAAATAGGATTATAAAAAAAATTTGTCGTGATTGTGTAACCCAATTGCAAGCTTTTGCATTTATATCTAGTAGATAAAAACTTTGTGCGATAATCTTTAATGCATGTCGACGACTAAGAGCTAATAAAATTGGGTCAAATTTTGACAAACAGGAAATACAATAAAGACCTGCTATTTACATATGAGTGATAATTCACATAAGCATAATATACTGATAATCCTTTTTCAATCATTTTGCTGTTTTAGTGTTGGGCTGTCTCAATGGTGACGACCGTGTTGTAAATCTGATACAACCACTAGTGGTTGTATCAGATTTACAAGGTCAATCACCTGATTAAATGGTCAGCCCTTATTGGAGCCATAGCTTATGCATTATGAATAAGTTTTATAATATTGTTTACTTTCTTAAAAGTTTTATTGTTATTCAAATCTTCTTACTGTAAAGCGCATATGAACGTATGGATATTTGCGCTATATAAATTGCACATTATTATTATTAGTATTATTATTATGGCATCTTTATTGAAAACTTTTCTTTTTTGTTTACATACAACATTGCGGGCATAACCTAAGCAATTGCTGCAGTCCAAGTGTTCCTAGTCACGAACGTACATGTATACTTAAATAAACTCATAGAATTTCTTAACTATTTCAGCATTTTGCGATAGGAGCCATTTTCGGCATTTTGTTATGATGAAAGTTGTTTCTTTTCTATCGTCTGTTAGGATGTTTATCCCTTGTTCTAGCTGGGGATAGTACCCTCCAAGGAAGTCAAAGACAATGTTTATCTGAGTGACAGTACATTCTTTATACAACGATCTTAATCCCATTCGTAAATCAGAGTATTTCTCTTCTTTTGTTTTTGTACGGTCTCCTATGGTCCCCACGCTACACACTGTTCCTTCGATGAGTATCCAGGTGTTGTTGTCTTTATCCAGGACTGCGATGTCGGGTTTATTAGCGCCATCTTTAGGGGCTCTTTCGAGGTAGAAGGGTACGTCCCATAAGATTTTTGCGTGGTCGTTTTCGATTTTACCTTCTGGTAATCTTTGCTGGTACCATGGTTTTGAGTGATCACTTTCTTGGAACCGGTATTTGTAAAGTAAGTAGTGGTACAAAGGTCGAAGCAGTTCATCGTGTCTGGCTTTATATAGAGTTTGTGCTATTATTAATATTATTATTATTATTATTATTATTATTATTATTATTATTATTATTATTATTATTATTATTATTATTATTATTATTATTATTATTATTATTATTATTATTATTATTATTATTATTATTATTATTATTATTATTATTATTATTATTATTATTATTATTATTATTATTATTATTATTATTATTATTATTATTATTATTATTATTATTATTATTATTATTATTATTATTATTATTATTATTATTATTATTATTATTATTATTATTATTATTATTATTATTATTATTATTATTATTATTATTATTATTATTATTATTATTATTATTATTATTATTATTATTATTATTATTATTATTATTATTATTATTATTATTATTATTATTATTATTATTATTATTATTATTATTATTATTATTATTATTATTATTATTATTATTATTATTATTATTATTATTATTATTATTATTATTATTATTATTATTATTATTATTATTATTATTATTATTATTATTATTATTATTATTATTATTATTATTATTATTATTATTATTATTATTATTATTATTATTATTATTATTATTATTATTATTATTATTATTATTATTATTATTATTATTATTATTATTATTATTATTATTATTATTATTATTATTATTATTATTATTATTATTATTATTATTATTATTATTATTATTATTATTATTATTATTATTATTATTATTATTATTATTATTATTATTATTATTATTATTATTATTATTATTATTATTATTATTATTATTATTATTATTATTATTATTATTATTATTATTATTATTATTATTATTATTATTATTATTATTATTATTATTATTATTATTATTATTATTATTATTATTATTATTATTATTATTATTATTATTATTATTATTATTATTATTATTATTATTATTATTATTATTATTATTATTATTATTATTATTATTATTATTATTATTATTATTATTATTATTATTATTATTATTATTATTATTATTATTATTATTATTATTATTATTATTATTATTATTATTATTATTATTATTATTATTATTATTATTATTATTATTATTATTATTATTATTATTATTATTATTATTATTATTATTATTATTATTATTATTATTATTATTATTATTATTATTATTATTATTATTATTATTATTATTATTATTATTATTATTATTATTATTATTATTATTATTATTATTATTATTATTATTATTATTATTATTATTATTATTATTATTATTATTATTATTATTATTATTATTATTATTATTATTATTATTATTATTATTATTATTATTATTATTATTATTATTATTATTATTATTATTATTATTATTATTATTATTATTATTATTATTATTATTATTATTATTATTATTATTATTATTATTATTATTATTATTATTATTATTATTATTATTATTATTATTATTATTATTATTATTATTATTATTATTATTATTATTATTATTATTATTATTATTATTATTATTATTATTATTATTATTATTATTATTATTATTATTATTATTATTATTATTATTATTATTATTATTATTATTATTATTATTATTATTATTATTATTATTATTATTATTATTATTATTATTATTATTATTATTATTATTATTATTATTATTATTATTATTATTATTATTATTATTATTATTATTATTATTATTATTATTATTATTATTATTATTATTATTATTATTATTATTATTATTATTATTATTATTATTATTATTATTATTATTATTATTATTATTATTAACGTCACCACGGAGGGTCAGCGTCATCTCGGGGCAGTCATCGGATCCCAACAGTACAAAGATCAATACTGTCAAGATAAAATCCAAGCTTGGAAAAAGGAAATCGAGACATTGGCTACACAATTGCCAAAAGCCAACCCCATGCAGCTTTTATCGCTTTTACAAAGGGCTATAAATCCAAATTCACGTACTTCATGCGCACCATAGAGTCACTTGAAGACTATTTGGATCCTATACATCAAGTGATAGATGAAGTACTCCTGCCCACATTATTTGGCCAAGAAGAAGTGCTGCCAAACGAGATAACTCAGTTAGCTAAGTTAACACCAGCACAAGGCGGATTAGGGATACCAGATTTAAGAGGTTGTCTCGCTAAGATTCATCAGGTCAGATCCAGTTTGAAAAATAGATTTTCCCCATACTTCTGTCATGAGTTAAAATT